TGTGACCTTGGTGTCCTCTTGGCCAACTGGCTGCCTGTGGCTTGGCAGACGGTGCCTGCTCTGGGTCAGCACTGGAGCCCCAGCTTCCTGGGGCAGCTCTGTCCCTGTGCCTGTGCCAGAGTGAAGTTGAACTCGGCTGTCTGTTGGTCCCCAGAGCTGGAGCCGGTGCAGGCCACCCAGAACAAGACAGGGAAGTACGTGCCACCAAGCCTGCGCGACGGGGCCAGCCGCCGTGGGGAGTCCATGCAGCCCAACCGCAGAGGTGAGGAGTGCCCCGATGCCAGGCTGGTGCGTGGGCACCTCCTGGCACCGTCGTCATCCCCGAGGTGCACCTGAGGGCCAGCTAGGGGCCTCCATTCACAACCACCTCCCCTCACAGCTGATGACAACGCCACCATCCGCGTCACCAACCTGTCGGAGGACACGCGTGAGACCGACCTGCAGGAGCTCTTCCGGCCCTTTGGCTCCATCTCCCGCATCTACCTGGCTAAGGACAAGACCACTGGCCAGTCCAAGGTAGGTGGGCGGGCATGCGGGGCTGTGGAGCAGGGGTTTGCCTGTCCCAGCTCTTGGCCCTGATCCTGCCCACACCTCCCCTATGCAGGGCTTTGCTTTCATCAGCTTCCACCGCCGTGAGGATGCTGCGCGTGCCATTGCTGGAGTGTCTGGCTTTGGCTACGACCACCTCATCCTCAATGTGGAGTGGGCCAAGTAAGATCCGACCCCTGCCCTGGGTCCCTGCCTTGTCCCAGCACTGCCACCGAGCCCGGGGCCGACCGATAATCCTATAGCAATTTAATAGTCTGCAAGTTGGTTTTGAGGGGATAGTCCTTCATTGTCTTTTTCCAAAACCTGGCAGAGGGGTACTGGGTGGCAGCTCTTGTGCCTGGGGTCCCTGCCAGTCTTTGGGCCAGGCCTTGAGACCGGGCATCTGATAATGTGCCCCCTTTGTCCTCATATTACCCCATCTTTGCTCCCCCCATGAGGTGCCACTTGGGTGTCAGGAGTCTTGGGGTACCCCCCAAGGTCTCACACCATGCCACCCTCCTCCCGCCTTCCCCAGGCCATCGACCAACTAAGCCAGCTGCCACCACGTGCTCGGCCCAGGACCCTTGGCGACAGAAGGTAGCCTCTGAGAGCGTGGGCTCCAAGGGCAATAAAAAGGCTCCTCCCTCTCTACCCCATCCTGTTTATTCTTGCATCTCCAGTCCTGCAGTGGAGCCAGCCCCTCCCCTCCCCTGGGTATGGGTTTGGTCCCCGAGTGGCCAGCACTCTGGGTGGGAAAGGCGACTGCTGCCTGGGCTGCAGCAGGACCAACCTGGCTGCAATCACAGGCATTGTTTTCTGGGGGAAGTGACACCTGGAATAAGGAGGTGGCTTCAGCCAGGCCACGTCACAGGCACACCTCATGGGATGGGCTCCGATGGTTCAGGAGTAGCTGTGGCATTGAGGGGCAGGGCTTGGCCGGTGCTCTTGGCGTCCTCTGGCCTCCAGCTGTCCTTGTAGCCGGGGCAGTGTTGGCGGCAGCAACCGAGGCTGGGCACTGCGGCCATGTAGAGCAGCGGGTGGATGCAGAAGGCCAGGGGCATGAGGCCTCGCATCACCTGGTAGCCCACGTAGGGCCCCAACTCCAGGGCCGCCCTGGCCTGGCTCACATCTGCAAAGTTTGGGCAGCGGCTGTCCCAGCGTCGCCGAGCCTCCACGTTGAGCACCCGCATGATGTGGTAAGGTACATAGGAGCTGGCGTAGAGGGCCACGCCACTTGCTACCAGCGCCGCCACACGCAGCTTCTCGGCCACGGTCATGCCCGTGCTGCGCAGCACGGCCAGTCCGAGGGCACCATAGGCTGCCAGCGTGAGCAGCAGCGGCAGGACACAGCCCAGCCCCGCCAGGACCAGGCTGTACGCTCTGTAGGCCGCCAGCCTGTGGCTGTCTGCTGTCCCCAGACACTTGATGCAGGCCTCGGGCCTGGCCACACTGCAGGTGCCTGCCCCCTGCTGTGGCCTCTTCAGGTGGGAGAAGCTGAGCGTGGGCGAGGCCAGCAGGGCGGCCAGGACCCAGCCTGTGGCACTCAGGGCCCAGGCGTGCTTGGGCCGCAGGTAGCTGCGGGTGAAGAAGGGGTGCACGATGCCCACATACCGGTTGAGGCTGATGCAGGTGATGAAGATGACACTGCCCAGCAGGTTGCAGGTGAAGAGGAAGCGCTCCAGACGGCACATGGCCTCCCCGTAGCGCCAGTGCTTGGGGGGATAGAGGTAGGCCGCCAGCGGGGGCAGCGTCAGGGCACAGAGCAGGTCACTGACTGCCAGCTGGGCTGAGAAGACCACAGGGGGGTGCCACGGGCGCTGCTCCCGGGTGCTGAAGCGGTACAGGGCCAGGCCATTGCTGGCCACAGCCACCAGGAACTCAACCACCAGTATGGGCCACAGGAAGTCCCCCTGGAACTTACTGAGGATGTCGTCGGCAGCCACCAAGAAGGCGACAGGGCAGGCCTTGGCACCTGTGGGCAGAAGGTGTCACCAGCTGAGCAGTCATCTCCCATAAGGCAGCTCCTGCTGCCCCCAGAGCCCACGCCCACCATGGCACGGATCCTGACGAGTCCTCCTGGAAGGGGACCAGGCTCCACTCGGTTTTATGGCCATGATTGGGACTCAGAGCCAGGGTTCTGCACTGGGCCCCGATGGACCAGCTGGGGCAAGCCAGTGGCCATCCAGCTCCCCCACTACCCTCATCTACTGGAGTCCCTGGCCCCACTAGAGGCCTCCTCCCCAAAGTCCAGCCCCGGCAAGTCCTGCCAACTTCACTTCAGATCTGTGCTGCCTGAAGCCCCACTGGGGTGCAGCCCTCACCTGCAGCCTCTTCTCCCCGTGGCCACCAGAGGGCACCTGCGAGTGCTGGAGTCTTGTCCCCACCCCTCTGCTTCCAGCTCACTTGGCCGCGGAGTTGTCACCAAAAAGCCAGACTAACCCCACAAGATCCCATGGGTGCGTTCCCACCCCCACACTCCCCAGTGCCATCCTCTCTGCTCCATGACTCTCTTCCTCACGCTAGCCCACTCTGGCTCCCCGGCTGCTCCTGCAGGCTTGTGCCTTGGGACCTTCCCACCCAGACTTTTTTTTGAGACAGTCTCACTCTGGTGCCAGGCTGGAGTACAGTGGTGCAATCATCTCAGCTCACTGCAACCTCTGCCTCCCGGGTTCAAGGAATTCTCTGGCCTCCGCCTCCCGAGTATCTGGAATTACAGGCGTGCGCCACCCCGCTCAGCTAATTTTTGTATTTTCAGTAGAGATGGGGATTCCCCATGTTGGTCGCTGCTGACTTGTAAGGATTTTTAGAAGTCCTTTCTGAGGGCCAGGCGCAGTGGCTCACGCCTGTAATTCCAGCACTTTGGGAGGCTGAGTCGGGTGGATCACGAGGTCAAGCGATTGAGACCATCCTGGTCAACATGGTGAAACCCCCGTCTCTACTAAAAATACAAAAAATTAGCTGGGCATGGTGGCACGTGCCTGTAGTCCCAGCTACTCAGGAGGCTGAGGCAGGAGAACTGCCTGAACCCAGGAGGTGGAGGTTGCGGTGAGCCGAGATCACGCCATTGCACTCCAGCCTGGGTAACAAGAGCAAAACTCTTGTCTCAAAAAAAAAAAAAAAAAAAAAAGTGCTTTCTGTACTGGAAAAACTTGAGCGGTGCTGGTATTCCCAGCAGGGGGCACAAAGGTTGACTCCAAGGGTTTAATAATTTGCCAAATTTGCATTTACCCCACCCACCTCTAGGACTTTGGAGCTTAATTATCTAGCTCTGATTTCCTCCGACAAAACCAATGTTTGAACCACTTTGACCTCTGATTTCCTTTTCAAGGTGGTCTCGAACTCCTGACCTGAGGTGATCTACCCGCCTCAGCCTCCTAAAGCACTGGGATTACAGGCATGACCCACCATGCCTGGTCACACCCTGACATTCTTGAGGCTCCCTCCCCGACGTCTGTGGTCCTGCCTGCAGAGGCCCCAAAGCATGCCTGCAGCCTCATGCCCTCCACTTTCCCTTCCCTGCAGCATTTTCCTCCATGTCGTGCCCCCACCTAATGACAGAAAAACCTCCCTCCTCCGGGAGGATGAGGGGCTCTGCTTACCCACTACTGGCACCAGTGCCCATCATGGTGTGCAGGGGACAGCAGCACAGAGGTGCTCACTCTTCATGTTCCCCATTCCCGCTGGGGACAGGCTCCTCCGGAGGTCCCTACCCACTCCCAACCCCAGCATGCCCGGGGATGAAGTGCCATTTATACTTCGCTTTTTTCTGGAGACAGGATCTCACTCTGTCACAGAGGCTGAAGTGCAATCACACCTCAGTGCAGGCTTGAACTCCTGGGCTCAGGTGATCCTCCTGCCTCAGCCTCCTGAGTAGCTTGGGACCACAGGCTCCTGCCACCACAAGCAGCCTCAACCTAGGTTTTACCAATACCCATCCCCCACTGCCCGCACCTTCTGACAATCTGCAGGGCTAACTGCAGACCCCTGGGTAAGCCATCACGCCTTCTCCTCACCTGAGTGGTTGGCTGCCATACTCCCGCGCCGTCTGCTGAGCCTGAGCCTGCGTCTGCGTCTGCAACCCAGTTCCACTGTTCCTCCTGAGTCTCCTGTGGCCAAGCCCCAGTCCCGCCCACAGTTCTGGGGCCAGCCAGCAGAGCAGGCCAGAGCATCCTGTTTCCACCCACGTTTCCTTCCTCCTTGTGTCACAGCCAGCCGGGGGTTCAGGCCCATCTGCTTAAAGCGTGACCTCTGTCTGCTTGCAGGGCTCTTGGTGGCACCGTGGGGAGGGGCTGCCCATGCCCAATGCTGCCACCAATGACACCACCCAACACCATGCAGGAAGGGGGAGAGGGGCCCAACTTCCAAGGGCAAACAAGGTGGGAGGGACTCCCAGGCATCACTGGCCCAGGCCTCTCTGGGTTGCTTTGTAGGGCTCCAGGATCCCCCATCCCAAAAGCTGACGTGGACCCCTGGCCAGTTCAGTCCTTTATTGGAGTGGAAGGGTTGGGGACACAACTCCTTTATGAAAGGAAACCGAGGGCCGCCATCTCTCGGGCCCCAATCTGGGGCATTCAATCTATCCACTGCTCCAGCGCGGCTCGGCCTCACACTGCTCTCTTCCGAGGCCTGCCCCGGCCCCGTCCACGATGCCAGGAAACCCCCTTCGGCCCCCGCCTGCCCTGGACCCCTTGGGGCTTGTCCTTGGGCAACTTCTGGTCACTAAAGCGACCCTGGCCTCGGTCTGTTTCCCGCCGCTTCCAGCCCGGACACTTGGCTGGCTGTTTCTGCTTTGCCTCAGGGAACAGGTCTGTGGGGAAGAGACCATGTCAGGGCCCCAGGAACAAGGACAGGCCCCAGGGACCCCACTGCAAACCCCACTCCATACCCTCACTGGGCGCCTCGCCCACCGCCTGGCAGAAATACTCGATGTCATCATCTTCCACGTCATCGAACTCCTCACTCAACTGAAGGCTCGCCCTCCTCGAGGCCACTTCGTGACTGCACCCAACCTGTGCCTTCTTCATGCCCTCCAGGCTCTTCTCCCTGAAGGAGGGATTGGGTGGTGGTCAAGGTGGCTGCCCATCCCCAGGACCTCCGGCCTGGCCCTGCCAAGCCCCACCCAGACCTGTGGGCCTCCCGCTGCTCCTGCTTGCGCTGCACGTTCTGGGCCTGCTGGGCCCGCCTCTGCGCCTTCAGCTGCAGCCTCTTCTCCTTGGCTTCCAGGATGGCCTGCAGCTCCTCCTCCGTCTTGCGCACTGAACAGGGAGATGCGGGTCACCAAGAGTCGGGTGCAGCTCCACACCTGTGACCCCCCCACCCTTGGGCCCCGGCCTCACCAAAACTGTGGAACATCACTTTGCCCTCCCCAATGCCGTCCTGGACCTTGATGAGTTGCAGCGTCATCCTCGGGCCGATCTGGGGGGATGAGAGCGAAGTGTCAGCCCATTGTTGGGGCTGGGGGTCCCCAAGGGTCACCTGCCCTGGGCCTCACCTCAGTGAGCCGCACGGCGCTCTGTTGGGCCGGCATGTTGCCGCGGCCAGCAACGGCCTGGGGTAGCTCTGTGATGTTATGCTCACCGTCGGGCTCCGCCTCGCTCTCCGACAGCCCTGCGCCCCTGTGTGGGGAACACTCGCGGCTCAACGGGGTAGCTCAGACTCCCAGGCCCATTCTGGGGTCCCCAGGCTGCGGGTGGCCTCCCGCCCTGTGCCCTCCTTACGTGGCCAGCAGCTCACTGATGTCCTGCAGGCGGCTCATGTTGGGGAACTTCTCCTGGAGAAGCTTCTTCATCCCACGACTCGCACCCACAGGAACAACCTTGATGCTACTGTGGGGACATGAGTGGATGACAAGGGGGTGGTCAGGGGTCTTGGGGCTGGCAGTCCACATCTCGTCCTTCCCACAGTGCGTCAGGGCGTTTGAGACAGAGCACTCAGAGTCTCAGCAGGAGTGCTGTCATCGGCTGCATGCAGAGGCCCCCATCCCGTACCCCCTCATCCCTCGCCTGCTGGGATGCTCACTAGTGGCGGAAGTCCAGCTCCTGGGAGTCAGGGTTGTAGTCAATGAGGAGGCAGCGCTTGATGGTGTTCAGGTTTACCTGGGAGGTGAGGAAGAGAGCATGCTCCAGTAGACTCTTGGCAAAGTTTGGGGAAATGGGGGCTTTAGGGGATACATGCACTGTTACACTGACTGTGGCGCTGGCTAGAAATCCTGCTTCCGGCTTGCACCTGTGGTTTCAGCTATTCTGGAGGCTGAAGTTGGGAGACTGCCTGAGCCCAGGAGTTCAAAACCAGCCCAGGCAACATAGAGAGGGTCCATGTCCACAAAAAGTAGATGTAAAAATGAGCTGGACATGGTGGTGCATGCCTGCAATTTCAGCTACTTAGGAGGCGGAGGCTCCCAGGATTTCAGGTGTAGGATTGCTTGCACCCAGGAGTTCAAGACCAACATAGGGAAACTGTCTCTTAAAAAAAAAAAGGTAAAGAAAAAATCCTGGTCCCACAGCCCATGTTAGACTCCCTAATAACTAGTATCTTATGTAAGTCCATCTGAGAGTCATTGGTAACAAGAATTAGGAGCTAGGACTCAGGAGACAAATTTAAAAATCCAGCCCTGCCCCCTGGAATCTAAACTCAGCATCTCTGCCAGCCTCAGTTTTGCAGTTTTTGGAGACAAGGTCCTGCTTTGTTACCCATGATGGAAGAGAGTGGCATGAACACGACTCACTCCAGCCTCAACCTCCTGGGCTCAGGTGATTCTCCCACCTCAGCCTCCTCAGTAGCTGGTACTACAGGCATGTGCCACCACACCAGATTACTTTTTAAAAATCTACTTTCTGTAGACATGGGGTCTTGCTATGTTGCCCAGGCTGACCTCAAACTCTTGGGCTCAAGTGATCCTCCTTCCTCGCCCTCCCAAAGTGCTGGGATTACAGGCCTGAGCCACAGGACTCGGCCCTGCAGCTTTCCTCTGTAAAACAGGGCCATGAGAAGAGATGCTACACTCAACACACACAGAAAATGAAACTGTCAGTATGTCTTTTCACCTGCTGGACAAGGCGCAGCTTGCAGGGGGGGAGTGCTGGGGGCATCTCTGGACATTTTTGCCCAGCATCACTGGACAAATGAGTGGGATTTAACCTCAGGAGTCAGCAGACCCAGGAGCTGTCAGCCTCAGCACTAGGAGTAGTGAGCAATCCACCTGAGGGCCTGTGGCACCTCTACCCGCTGCACCCACCCGTACCTGCCACCTCACTAGGCCAGGCCCACCTTGTGCACGTTGATGGAAGGGAACAGGTTCTGGAACATGGTGGCCATGAGCTTCACATGCATGCCATGGGGGCCAAAGCTGTTGAGCACCAGGAGGGGCGGGTGGGCAAACTGCTGCTCGTGCATGCGGTGCCGGCGCAGTGAGGAGACCACGTCACGCACCAGTGAGTACTGCAGGGCAGGAGGAGGGGGTGACCATCAACCACGTGGCTGGGGCCACCCCCAAGTCCAGCTCCCGCCCACATGACTTTGTACCACCTCTCTCCCTCACCTTCTTGACCTGGAAGGTCAAGGTAGGGCCTCCTGGGAGGCGCATCAGCTTCTGCAGGGGAAGAAAAGATCAGTGAGGATGGAGAGGTCTAGCAGAGGAGCCTGGGAGTAGGCACCTTTGCCCCATCTCTTCTTCAGAGCGTTTACTTTGAAGCCAGAAATCACAGCAGCTCAGCGGCATATATGTGTTCATCATGAGAGACGAGGAAAGTAGGGGTCTGGGGGAGATGGAAGGGTGAGGGTGTCTACTCACAAAGTAGACGCCAGTCTCTGTTTTGCTCAGGATCAGAAAGTGTGTGACACCGAGGGGCCCAGCCACTGCCACGCAGTCCTTCAGTGAATTCTTCTTACGAACCTAGAAATGACAAAGAGAAAAAAACAGCTTAGCCGGATATAGTGGTGCGTGCCTGTAATCCCAGCTACTCGGGAGGCTGAGGCAGGAGAATCGCTTGAACCGAGGAGGTGGAGGTTGCAGTGAACCGAGATGTTGCCATTGCATTCCAGCCTTGGCAACAAGAGTGA